AAACATAAGGGAGAAGTAAAGGGGGAAGAGGAGGAGAGGAGGAAAGAAGACCTGAAGAGATAGAGAAGGAGGGGAAAGGAAGAAGGGGACAGATGAAGAAGGATGAAGATAGGATTCTGGAATGTGGCGGGAGTAGGGAACAAGGATAAGGACTTTTGGAAAGGAATTAGAGGAATGGGAGGTGATAGTGTTGACAGAAACATGGATGGAAGAGAAGAGTTGGAAGAAGGTCAGAAGAATGTTGCCGAAAGGATACATATGGGGAGTACAAGGAGCTAGCAGAAAGAATGAGAGGGGAAGAGCGATAGGGGGCATGATTATGGGGATGAGAAAGGAGATAGCAGAGAAAGGAGAGGAGATGGAAATGGAAAAGGAAGGCTTTGCGATAGGAGAGTAAAGGTGGGGGGAGAGAAGATGGAGGGTGATAGGAATATATGCAGGGCAAGGAATAGAGAAGGCATGTAAAGAAATGGAGCAGTGGACAGAGGAGAAAGAGAATGAGATATACACGATAATAGGAGGGGATTTTAATGCAAGAACCGGAGAGGAAGGAGGAAGAAGAGTGAGAGGAGAAGAAAATGTAGAAGAGGAGGGGTTAGGGGAAAGTAAAAGGAAGTCAAAGGACAGAGTAATCAACGCAGAGGGAAGAAACTGTTAGAATTCTTGGGAGAAAGAGGATGGAGCATATTGAATGGGAACACAGAAGGAGACGAGGAGGGAGAATGGACATTTACAGGAGGGAGAGGGAAACACAGTAATAGATTACGTATTGGGAGACGAGGATAGTAGAGAAAAGGTAAAAAAGTTAAGAGTAAAAGATAAAGTAGATTCAGATCATCAGCCAGTGGAGGTGGAGATAAAGGGAAACAGAGAGAGGAGAGGAGAGAAAGAATCGAGGAGGAGAGAGGAGGAACTTGGAATGAAGAAAGGTGCAGGAGGTTCAAGGAGAAGGTAGGAGAACTAGAAGGAGGAGAAGAAGAGATAGAGGGTAAGTGGAAGAAAATGGAGGAGAGGGTAAAGGAAGCAATGAAGGTAACAGAAGAGGAAGAGAGGAAGATGAAGAAGGAAAGAAGGGGATGGTGGGATGAGGAGTGTGGAGAAAGAAAAAGGAAAGTAAGAAAGGAGCTGAGGAGGTGGAGAAGGGAAGGAGGAGAGGGAGAAGAATACAGGAGGAAAAAGGAGAATACAGGAGGTTATGTGAGAGGAAGAAAAAAAGAAGAAAACGAGAAATGGGAAAGGAGAGCAGCGGGGGCAAAAAAGAAGCGGAAGTATGGGAAATAGTTAACAAGGAGAGAGGGAGAGAGAAGGGAATTAACGAGGAAATTGAGATGAGAGAGTGGAGAGATTATTTCATGAAGTTGCTAGGAGGAGTGGAGGAGAGGAGAGTAAGAGAGGAAAGAAAGGACAGAGGAGATAGAGAGGAAGAGGAGGAGGAAGAGGAGATAAGCAGGACAGAATTGATAGAGGCGATAAAGAAGCTGAAGAAAGGAAAAGCATCGGGGATAGATGAGATTCCAAATGAGGTATGGAAATATGGAGGAGGGAATATGGAAAATTGGGCACTGGATTTTTGTAACAGAGTATGGAAAGGGGAAGGATGGCCGGAGAGATGGAAGGAGGGGGTGATAGTCCCGATAAAGAAGAAAGGAGAGGGAAAGGTGGTTGAGGATTATAGGGGTATAACGCTGATGCCGACACTGTATAAGGTATATACAATGATATTAACAGAAAGATTGAGGAAAGAGGTGGAGGAGAAAAGGATTATAAAAGAAAACCAGATGGGATTTAGGAGAGGAATGGGGACGATGGACAACATCTATGTGATGAACTATTTGATTAATAGACAACTAGAAAAGAAAGGGGGAAGGATGACAGCATTATTCGTAGATTTGAAGGCAGCGTTTGACTCGGTGGACAGGGAGAAAGTAATGGAGGCGATGGAGGAGAGCGGAATAAGGAAGGGATTGAGAAAAAGGGTGGAGGAAGTGATGAGGGAAACGGTATGCAGAATAAAGATAGGAGAAGAAATAGGAGAGAAGTTTTGGATAGAGAAAGGGGTAAGACAGGGATGTCCTCTGAGTCCGCTGCTATTCAATATCTTGATAGCGGACTTAGAGGAAAAGATGGGGAAGGTGAAAAGGGGAGGAATGAGATTAGGGGAGAGAAGAATTTACACACTGGCATACGCAGACGATATGGTGTTGCTGGTAGAGGAGGAGGAGGAACTAAGGAGCATGTTAGAGAGGCTGGAAGAATATTTAGATCAAAAAGGTTGGAACTAAATGCGAAGAAATCGAAAGTGATGAGATTTAGGAGAAAAGGAGGGAGGTGGAAAAAAAGGGAATGGAGATGGAAGAGGAGAGAATGGAGGAAGTGAAGGAATTCACGTATTTGGGGTATAGACTACAAAGGAACGGAGGACAAGAAGGACAGGTGAGGGAAAGGTTGAGGAAAGCGGCGTCGATTATGGGACAGGTGTGGGGGATAGGGAAAAGAAGATTCGGAAAGGACTGGGGAAGAAGGATGTGGTTGTTCGATAAACTGGTGTGGACAGTGATGAGCTATGGGTGGAAATATGGGGGTGGAAGGAGAGAGAGGGGATAAAAAGATTAGAGGAAAGGTACCTGAGATGGACACTAGGGGTGGATAGGAGGACGCCAGGATACATGGTGAGAGAGGAACTGAAAAGAGAAAAGCTGAGAACAAGAGCGGGGAAGAGAGCATGGAGCTTTGAGAAAAGAATGGAGAAAGGAAGAGGAAGTGAGCTGGCAAGAGAATGCTGGGAAGAAATGAGAGAAAGGGCGAAGGAAGGGAAGGTGGGCTCAGAATGGAAAAGGAAAGGGAAGAATACTTTAGGAAAAGAGGGAAGAAGATAGAAGAGGTAGAAAAGAGGAGAGAGGAGGAAGAGGGATGGTTCGGAGAATTGTTGAAGAAGGATTGGGAGGAACAGAGGAAAGGAAGGGAAGAAAGAATGGAAAAGTCGGAATATAATAAATGGTATAAGGAGATTAGAGTAGTAGGAATTCCGGAATGTTTGAAAAAGGTTGGGGGGAGAGTAGGTGGAGGAGGGTGGCGAGGTTTAGGTTGGGAAATGAGATGTTAGAAAGTAGGTACTGGGAGGAGGAGGAAAAGAGAAAATGCAGGTTATGTGGGGGAGAGGAGGAATCATGGGAGCATACATGGGAAAGATGCAGAATAAGTAGAGAAAGGGAGAGGAGCTGGCAGGAGGTAGTCAAAGAAATTTTAGGAGAGGGAGGAGAGGGAGAAGGATGGATGATAGGGATTGAGGAAGAGAGAGAGAGGGAAGGAGAAAAGAATAGGGGGAATGGAATGAGAGAATAAGAAAGGGAGAAGAAATGTAAAGAGTAGAAAGCAATAGGAAACGGAAGTCCCGCGCGGCGAGATGTGTGTGTGTGTGTACTGGGGGTTGAGCGGAAGCTAAGGGGAGAAGGCCATAAGGGCGACCCGAAGTAGAAGCTCAACCCCTTAGAAGCGTTTAGGTTAAGTAGGTTAAGTTAGATTAAGAGGATAATATAAGCGTTTTTGTTTTATGTTGTGTTTGTTTTTAAATTGTAACCCTACGGGGAATCAATAAAGTTTATCTATCTATCTATCTATCTATCTAATTAACAAATATTACATACTTTTAAAATTATTATCTCATAATATATTATATCGCAGAGTTCTTTTTACCAAAATAAATAAAATAATTATTGGATATAATAGTTTCTGATTAATTTATTTTATTTTAGATTTATAAAAATCTATATGTATAAGTATCGTCCGTCTTTCTGTCTGTCTGTCTGTCTGTCTGACCGCGAACTGCTTCCACATTTGTGGACTGATTTTCATCAAATTGGTACCAAAATTTCGCAAATTTTCCGGGAGTGTGACGATGGTGATTTTTGTAAGTTTTACGCCTCTATCCACGCATCCACTCACGCAATCGCATATTTATGGACCGATTTTTTTTAATTGGTAACAAAATGTTGCAAATTTTTGAAGATAAACACAATTGGTGGTTTTCTCAAGTGTTACACCTCCACCCACGCATTCACCCATGCGCATGCGCATTTATGGACCGATTTTCACGAAATTGGTACCAAAATGTTACAAAATTTCTGAGAAGACTACTGTGTGGTTCTTTTTAAGTTTTATTCCACGTATCCACACACGCATTCACATATTTATTCACCGATTTTCTCGAAATTGGTACTAAAATTTCGCATATTTTCGGAAATCGCTACTATGTGTTTTTATTCAGTTTTACACTACTACATTCGCCACAGTTTTACATTATTACATACACCCACGCATACATACATTTATTGATTAATTTTCTCGAAATTGGATATCTATTTATATTTATATATACAAGTTGCAAATTTTTGAGGAGTGTGATGAGATGGTGACTTTTTAATTTAAAAATTTTTAACATAAAAGAGAGTATGTTTCCGCGAAAAATATTTTGCAGTTTTCTATGCCAATGTGTTCGAAATGTTCCAAAATATCGAGAGATCACATTTAAAAAAATTTGTATGTAAAACTTCCACCCACGCACTCACACATATATTGATTTATTTTCGGTACCAAAATCATGAAAATTTTTGGGGATGACGACAGACAGACGGACAGATGGACAGACAAATAGATAGATATTAAATAAAGTATAACTAAATATTATATATTTTTGGTTTTGTAAATAAAAATTGTGTGAAAACTAGTAAGGGCAGAATCAGTGTTGGGTGAAGGCTTTGAGGCCCGCGTGAAAAGCGAACCGAAAAACTAGTATAATTATATCAGATAAAGTGATGTTAAAATATAAAGAAAGTTTTCATATCTTACATTATATTTATACGAGGTGACCCTATATGAATATAAATATTTGAAAAGATATTTTTAAAAACAGTATAATATTGTATACGTATGTATATATTGTTTAATATTGTATACATATGTATATATTGTTAAAAAAAATTTATACATTTTGTAAAAATAATTTAATGTACGAAAATCTTGCTATATAAATGCTTAAGTATGTTATCGTTTCCGAGAAAGTGGGAGGTGATAACATTAAAATTATTTAAAATAACCTTATTGACAGTATTTATTGCAAGCAATGTAGTAAGAGCTTTGTTGAACCAAGAAGCCGATCGAAACGGATTGTTCAGATTATAAAACCATTGCTGTGTCACTTTATGTCCTACTAATTGAGCTACTTCGATTTTGTGAGCAACAGAATACAAATTTTTATTGTAAACGATATCCATTTCGCTGAAAGTAATATTTAAATGTTAGACTGAGAACGTTTAAACAAAATAAAATTTTATTTAGCAAATTGGTATTGTAAATTGTAACAAATAATATTTTTTGTAATTTTTAATTTAAGTATAAAACAATGATTTCGTGTTAATCATCGATGAAAAACTTTAGTTTTAATAAATAAAAAGATGTTATTTCTTTTGCTTTATTACAATTTTAAAATTTATTTTAGGGGATACAATATAACATAAAAATTTTTACCTTTATGTATGTATATATTAGAACAATAAAGTGCAACATTTTGAATTATAATACGAATAAACTTAATTTTTACTACTTAAAATTGTTGTTTTCACAATATCTTATACTTTTGCACGTTTACAGAAACAAAAATCATGTTTTTATTTTTATAATTTTGCATAGTAATATATAATTTTACTTTTAAAGTAATTTTAAGTACTTGTACTCACTTATAAAAAACAAGTCCAAAAACTATTATGCCATTATCAAGAAAATTTGGTATTGCAACATGAGTCACTTTCGAAATGTTGTTTGAATGTTGTTTCCATGTATTTTTGAACAACAACGTGATTTCTTCAGCTACATTTTTTGCAAATTTCATGTAAAATACAAATTCGTTTCTGCACCACATTTGAATATGTTGAGTATTATTATCAACACGTGATAAGTAATTGGATACAATTATTGTTGCAAGATACGGCGACATTGCAGGTGTGGTATCGAAGCGTTTCAATAATATATTGTGCTTGTTTTTTTCTGTATTTTGCAATGGCATATTTGACAAAGCCGTGCATTGATTACATCCTATAGATATGTTAAAAGTTGCTTCTAACAATAAATTTTGTTGACTCCAACATGAAGACAATTGTCGAGCGCCTATTATATGGAAATGAGTAGCAGCTACCAAACTATACATTTTAAAAAACATATATGAATGAAACATTTTTAACAAGCATCAAAATGTTGGAATTTAAAAATGTTTAAATGTAATATGTAATAATATGCATTATAAGTATAAAATTAGTAGTCTTTATATTTAAATTGCATGATATATAATAATTTTTGAAACATTTAATACAAAAATAATATATATTAATTACGAGATTTTATGTAATTGCACATTGCACATTGATTTTAATAAACATATATTATTTGCTTACGCAATTTTTTTTTCACATCGAAAATTCTAAAGACTTCATCAGTAAAACCAAAATATGTAATATATAAAGTGTAATTTCCTGGTAATAACTTATCCTTAAAATAAAGGTCAATTATGTCTTCTTGAATATCATATGTCGGTTTATAAACTGTATACTTAATATTCTCATGATGTTTTTCTAGATTTTTAATTAAAATTATATTTTCAAAATATAATTTTTCTGAATGTATGTTGTTGATTAATATATTTTGCGTTTTATTAAGAATGCTTATGCTGATATTGTATTCTCCATAGAAAATGTTTTCTTTAATACATGATATAAACTTGATATCGTAATGATTTGGTTTTATATATTTTGATGGTTGATAGCATAAAGACGATTGATTAGGAGTAGAAGCCGTCCCAACGATATACATTATTCCGCTGATTAATAGTAGAAATATCATCGTGTCAAAAAATTTATTTTATTTAAATAAATTTTTTAGTAATTTATTTATTTTAGGTTTGTAAAACACACTGTAAGCAAAAGACAAATAAAGAAATTAAATATAGTATTGATGTCTTTTTTAAATCACTAGACGACACAAGAGCGCGCTTGGCGCACGCTTTTGATATTATTTCTATTATTCATTTTACAATTGTCAAATTGTTAATTTTTGCGATGACAGTTGCTTGATAATATAAAAATAATCATAATTTTAATTAGCTGAATTACTATTTTGACTTCTATTTTGTATATATACTGATAGTAGAATACTAATACGTTTGAGAAGTACAACTTAATCATAAATAAAATGAAATTTTAATAATTATTAATTTTAATATATTTGAAAGGATAATTAATTTTTACGACCATTACTGGCTAATAAATATTCAATAATCACCACCCAACGTTTCGACCATGGGTTTTGTTCCTTCTCAAGTGTACTTAAAATTAAAAATCGTGAACATATTATTCGAATCAAACTTCTTGTCGAACCGTGATAAAATAATAGCCAAGGACTATACAACCTTTAATATATTGACATCACAAGTAAGTATTAAAATACACACAAATATTATTTATACATAATAAAATTATGAAAACAGAATTTTAATAATTTAGTAATAAAAGGACAATTAAAAGTGTCCATTATAATATTCATTATCTGTTAATTGCAGTATCCTTTAGTTTCAAAAATTATTTATTCGACATCAAACTTTTGTGGATTCAAGATTATTTCGACTATGGCGATAAAATTTATTTTATATTTCAATTTTATTTTATAATGTTAAATCAAATTGAGAACGAAAGTCGGCGATCGAATATATGTATATATATGACAACGAGCGAAAGAATCATAATGAACAGGTAAAGACAAATATCAAAACAAGCAAAATATAACAACGGACAGCTTAATCAATATAGGCAAAGGTGAGACGAGAATCGATAATTTGTCACTCAGCAAACTCGCTGAAGAAAGAACAAATAGAATTATATCTCGCAAGCAAAAGTTATACCTCGCGGTTATTGCAAGTCATTTATATAATATTTTTGAATGCAGAATTAAAGTGAATAACAATAATATAACGTCTCTAAATTTATTTCAACTTTTCAACTAATAAAACTAATAATTCGCCAAGCAACATACAATTCATAAAATATTATATAATCGATATTATTTTAAATTATTTCTAAATTAAAATTTACAAATATTTTTAAATAAAACTATTTTCTTTATTCTTATACATATGTTGGAAATTCTATAAAATTCCGTCCTACCGTATAATTAAATTTTTTGCATTTGTAGACTCATGTTTTATATGTATGAAAGTTCTTCTGACTTACCGAATATTTCGAAACAGAATATTAATTGGAAAGTTATATATCGTGTTAAAAATGAACTACAGCAAATAATGCTTTAGAAGTATTCAATGTTGGAAGAATATAATATATTCACACACTTTAATAAAAGTATTATATCTACGGCGACGTGATTTGAAAGGCCACGAAAAACTGACTGATTCTCTGTTCGTGTCTTCATGCTAAATATGATGTGTTAAATCAACAAAACTTCTAAGGTCGTTAAATGTATATATATATTTGAGTGAATGGCGGCATTTGTGTGTAACGGTTGATTTAATTTAGCACATTTAACTTTTGCCTAATTAATCAAATTATTAAGCATTGTTTATACACATTTATGTGACTTATTTCAACAAACATTTTTGCTAAAAATATTGTGTAATTTCTCGTCGTATACTCATTTTTCGATAATTTTATCTTTATAATTCAATTAGTATAAATATGTCATTATTTATTATAAATGTATGCAGTTGCACAATGCTATAAACTGCAATTTTTTTAAATCACTGGAATGTTTTTTTTATACCAATCAATTTATTCACATTGTTTTGTGCAGAAGTTAATTTTGATAAAATAATATTGGAAGATAAATACATTACAAGATATTTCATATTCTATAAATATTGTATAAAGTATATTTTTCGAAAGAGAAACCTTGATTATGAAATTACAACAATATTTATTTTAAAATGGGACACTTTATATTTTTTTGTTAGAAACATACATTTAATTATACATGTTTTTATGTACAATACTGTGTCTTTATACTGTACCTACTTCTGTATGTATAAGTATATATTATAATATCGTGAATATTATAATCGATTTCTTATTAATCGCGATATGTACTATTTTTGTCTTTTTTTTATTAATTTTTTCTAATTTTAAAATTTTAATACTTTGTTTATGACATCGTACTCTATGCGCGAAACCATAAAAATTTATAACTGATTAAATTATTATCTTTATTTAACATTTTTGTAAAAAGTTATTACAAAATATTTATCAAAATTTGTTTTACTTATTTTTCAAATTATATATATATTAAATAAACAAATTGTGAGAATAAAGCTAGAATAGAATACAATTTTGAATATAAATCGTGATTTTCCGATTTCAACACTCTTTCATAATAAAAATCATTTATTTGAAACTAATAATATCGATTAAATGTGAAAAACATTTAATGTTTGATGTAAGAAAATTCTTTTCAAAACAGATAAATATTTATTTGTATCAAATAAATGATTTATATAACAGTATAAAAATAAAAATATTTTTTTATTTAATAATAATTCCAATGCAGTGATACTCTTTTATACTTGTCAACTTTTTTTATTCTTGGCAACATATAAAACATTAAATTGATTTTAATTGTATAAGTAAAAATTAAATTAAATTATCATTAATTTTTATTTAAATGTCTAAAGAAGTTATAATAATTGATTCTTCTTTTTACAGTATTATATGTTAAGTGTCACAATTACTCAAATATCAATTAAAGTATTAAATCAATCATAAATATCTATTAAAAATGCGTACTACAAATTTACACACACAGACATGTGTTTAGTCTGATATTTATTTTCTTTTATGTGTAAATTATAATATTTTTCAATTTTAAAGGCATTTTATTCGATAAATTTTTATGTGTCATAAATTATTTGAATATTACGAATCTTGAATTAAGTATACGTTAATATGTGCGTATATTACATAGTATAGCTCCGTTTTCATATTCTAATCGATGAACTACAGAAAGGTTTTAAAATATTTTAATTGTTTTCCGATCTTTTTCAAATTTTTTGTTCTTGTTACAAAATTGTTGTACAAATTTTACTTTGCTAAAAGAGATTCGACATTTATCATTAAAAATAGTAAGAAACGAAATAATGGAAAGTTAAATAAAATAATTTTATAATATTAAAATTTATCGCGTTGATTGGACGAAGCACATGTTAGACGCGCACTTATTGCAACCATCAACTTGTGACAAACGTTTTAAAACATTTTTTTTTTCTAGTTTTGCTTAAATTTCTTTTAAATATAATTGTAAGTTACAATTTAGATTGACACATTTTGCAGTATTTTTAAATCTATTTTTCTCAGCTAGGAATGTTAAATTATGTTCTACAATTTTAAAGTTATGCTATATAATTTTATGAATATTAATATTAATATTAATAACTTTTTAAAATTAATATGGGGATTTACATTACGAGAGAGAGAGAGAGAGAGAGAGAGAGAGAGAGAGAGAGAGAATTGTCATGTTATTTATTGTAAACTAAGAAAATGCTAATCCATCACAAATTCTACATAATTAATAATAATAAATGTACAAATTAATTAATTTTTGTAATAATATATAGTTTAACTGGTTCAAACAAGATTGCAAAAGAATGAAAATTTTGATGCATGCATTCATATAGTTTTATAAATATAAATATAAAAGCATCAGATAGTACATCTAAATAAACAATATTTAAAGCAGTAAAAGAAGTAGTACGTACAAAATAAAAAAATTATATGAAAAAAATTCATATGAGGTATGTCCACATATAAAAAGCTGCAATTTATTTTACATCCACCGATTAGAAGAAAAAACTTTCAAAATATATTGTGTCTGCTTCTCGATTTGTTTTTTGCGAAATGAAACCCGGTCCATAATTCGACTGTATATCTTTTGAATTACATTGTCACTCATCTGAAACAAATAGTTTTATTAATAATAATAAAAAATTAAATAAATAGTAATATCATTCCGCATTATGAATTCATATTTATAAACAAAGATTTGCATACTGAAATTAACAAACTGTTTATATAACTAATAAAACAAATATAAAAATGATCTTTAGAAAGTAATAAGCTAGAACAATATTTCATTTTCTATCGCTGTTTATAATTATATTTATTAAATTTACCTCTTTTATTTGATGGCTTCTAATTGTGTTATTTACTTCAACTAAGTTAGTTTCTAGAATACTGTAAACGTTCGTCATTATTTTCTAAAATGAATAATTTTAATACCATTATTACTAAACAACGTTATTGTAACATTATCAAAATTATTTTAAACATTAAATAATAATTATTAATATCGCATTATTATCATATTTTGTATACATATTTAAACATGTTAAAATTTTTACCTCAGCTAAATACTCGAAATATACGTTATTAATCATAATAATTAATGTTGCAATTATATTAACATTTCTAAAAACAAAAAAAATCAGATGTATATATATAATACATATAATAAACTTTTGTACAAAATATTTATAAAAATATGTTACTTTACTTGGGTTTTATTTTGTGAAAATTATCTAATATATACGTCAATATAATTGGATTTTTCACATGCTTCGTAATAAAATGTAAGAAACTATTAACGAGAAATTGATCTTTCTGTTTTGTATCAGTGATCTGTCTATCTATTGTTGTTAAATACATTTTGATTAACTCAGTATCTTCAATGCAAGCCAAATATTCTGAAAATTTAATGTCAGTTTTGTTCAATCCTCTAGTATACACTGTTCCAAAAGTTTTCGCATATCTCGTAGTTATCATCAAACCTCTACAATATGTCCATGTCTTCCACCATGGCAAAAGTCTAAAATATAAATAGAATTTAATTTTCTTATTAAAGGTTTTCGTATTAACTCATTTGAACATTATAGGAGATATCTACAAGGAAATTTGATTGAGAAAAACTAAAAATATGTAACATAATTTACCTGTGTTTTATAGGATCTTGGAGATGTTGTTTTAATTTATCGTTGGCTTCTTCCATACAATCGATTTCACCGAGAAAACATGCCCATTTTGCAGCTTCTTGTCGCAAACATATTCTAAGTTCGTCTATATCATGAATTTCTTCATATTCAATTCTTTCAAGTACCTTGTTTAACATGTTTCTTATTCTATTCTAAAAGTAGTTTAATATATATTTTTTTGTTTGTAAGTTTATAATTATAGTTCATTGACAAAGATTTTCAGCACCCAGCTATGTATCCACTAACAATATCATATATCAATATTATTGATAATAGTGAAAATCATACATTTTGGGGACTGTTCTTCGCGTGAGTGATTATTCAAACTGAATTTCTTTGCACATTTATTTGCGAGGTAATAATATGTAAAATTTTATCGTTGCTGGATATATTCTTCAGATTGTGTTTTAATTTTTTGTGACGAATGAGAGTATATGCAAATATCTGAAATGTAACACTTACATTGAAATCTATTAGTAATTACCTTAAATCTATAATTTTTTGGTTCCAGCATTGCTATAGGAATAGTATTAAACATGTGTTCCAGAGCTTTAAACATAGGATACCATGCTATATAATCTTCTTCTTGACCCAAATACGATGTGATACTCCAGAATATAGAGACTTTGAGGTGACCTGCTATCACTAAATGATATGCATCATCGATAATTTGGGCACGATTAAGAACATGAATTTTCGTAAAATTATCAGAGTTTAGATAATTTGAAATTCTTTGCCAATTCTCATCATCATAGTTAACGCGGTAATATCCTGTCGAATAATAAATAAATTTGAACAATTTTTATTATTCTGAATAATTTTATAATTAATATCTTTATTTTCAAACATTTTCGTTTCATATTTTTATATATATGAATTATAATTTTAAACCGTATCAAAAATTTTATAAAATACAAATACATATTAAAAATTAATTATAAATAAAAATGAAGTTATGCTACATATTTTTGTGTAGCATGAAATAAAATTGATTCTAGTTGTGCTTATGCATATAATAATTACTTTATACAAATGAGAAAAATTTCTGTAATATGAAACTGTACAAAAATTATATTTCACCTGTGTACTTATATTAGTATACTAATTTTATAAATATAGTTAATTTTTTAAATAATTTTTATTATTATTAGAATAAAATATTTGTAAAAATATAACTTTAATATTGATATTACGTAGAAAACGCCCATATATATATCTTATTAATTATATATAATAATACAGAACACAGAACATTACACGAAGCATTTTAAAACTATTGTAGTTATATATAATGAATATATAATGAATATCTCATATTTTTATATAATAATGTATAAAACAGAAAAAATATAAAATAATGTCAATTGTGTGTGTAAAATA